GTGATAGCCTAACAAGGCTTCCTTCCCTGGGTCTACCTCCTCTGTGGTAGTATAGGTAAGGTAAAGGAGGTTGTTCGGTTAGTGTGGGGAGCAGTGAGACCTGGCATTAGGGGAGTGTCTCTGGGACGCCAGAGATCACTGTCTAGCCTCCTGGAGGTGTCGTGGGACTAACTAGACGAAACACCGGTGAAAGGAGGTTCCCACCCGATGACCCCAAAGACATGTTAGTTATCACTGCTCACGGGTCTGTATAGTTAAGCCTTGCCATAATAGCTTATCGTAGGGCTTAGGAGGATTATTCACTGAGCGCTGATCCCTTTTTTTTTTTTATTAGAGCACAAACTTCTTGTGTTTATTTGAATATAGCGCCCCCCTTTGGCCAATTGATGTAATATTCCTTCATTGGCATCCTCCCATGACCCTCTACCACTGTGCCAAATTTCACATGGATTGACCAAGTCAGTGAGGAGAAAAACGTGGAACAGACACACAGACTTTGAGTTTTCATCATTATATAGTAAGATTACGAAGTATCCAATGATACCTGGACCATAAACTTTATTTTACATTAAGTTTTAGTTTATAAAGATGTGTGAAAGAAATTCGGCGTCTGTCTCCGCTCACAGTGGGCAGCTGGTGAACCTGAATCTGGCAGAGAGTTGGAGGGAGACAGTGTGGTTTTACGTCAGACTATCTGACTTTTTGTTAAACTTAATGGTGGGTTACAGAGACTGGCTGTACTTAGATGTTTTAATGGATGGTTTAATTAAGTTGCTGTCTGTTAGTCACTTAGTTCTCACCAGGAAATGGTACATCAAATAAAAAGCTCTGCACTGGAAATTCACTGTACTTCAAAGTAAAGTGTATTATCTACAAACTCCTTACTTAAAATCCGTTCTGAATGCACCCATGAACCGCATATCTAGACAGAGCATGATGAGTCAGAGATGTTGGCGCCTATCTACTCACCAGCTGATCATTCCGGTTAATGTGCATTGTTTGTGGACACACCTATATAAAAGATGATTGTACTGCACATGGTTTCGGTGGTAACTACATGAGAATGACGTGTGTGAGTGTGTTATGCAGTTTGGCTGCATTCCTCCACAGGCAAAAATGTTTGCAAATGAAAAGCAGATCTGAGAATAACCACAACTCTTACAGTTCAGTTCAGACAGGTCAGAATAAAAAGGTTTCTCCTCCTTGTCTTACTTTGGTTTTCTTTCTTTTCTTTTCAGCATGCTGGAGCACAACTTGGAGCATGGATAGGTTTGTAATTATCAAAACGTCAGAGTGATAGTGTGAAGCCAGTTTGTCAGTTATGATTATGTTCATAATGTGTATGGTGTTCGGTCTAGCAGTCCCATCTCATTGCCAGGTCGTCAAACACCACCACTTTGTCACGCCCCTTGGTGTGTGATATCGACGCTGAGGGGCGTAACCCTACGTTACATTACATTACGTAACAAGCATACTTATTTTCATCTAAAACATCTTTATTCTAAACCTGACCGCAACCGTTTCACAATGTTAACTGCTGCGTTTCAGCTGTTTGGCCTGTGTGTCGTTAGTAAGGAGTGTGACAATTTGTCTGTATTTGACAGCCTGGGGATGAGACTCAACAATTAACAGCCATCCAGAATTACATGCCTTTGGTTGATAGTACTTTTCTTGTCAATGCCTAGCTGGAAGTTGTCTTCTTATCTAACAGCTGGTGGATGAGAAAACAGATAAGTGTCCTCACTGTTGGGTCTCTCTCTCTCTCAGGATCAACTCTACGCTCGAACATGGACCTGACTTGGCTGGTAAAAGGTACGAATTAAAGGCGACAGTCAACATTATTCTGTACTTTTTGTTTATGTCAACAAAACTCATCTCATCTACCTAGTTTTTATGGCTGCGCCTTTTTATTGTTGCCAGGCAGCCACCCCATCACCTCGTTACACTGACCTTCCTGTGTAATCAATCGACTGTTACTGTTATTGTAGTCTCGCTCACCAGACCTTTCTCAAGAAAAGAAAGGTCTGGCTGGGCCGACTCTCACTTTAAGATTGGAGAAAAAAACGCCCCGGCTGCTTGTATTTCTTTCAACCAATCACAATCGTTCTGGGCGGTGCCACAGCAACAGTGCGCTTGCAAAAATATTGCCGGGGGGAAACAGGTTTTGGTGTAACACACCCACAAAAATATCACCTACAGGACGCGAACCATGGCAGAAAAATGGCTACATCCCCGCAAGATCAAACACCGCAAAAGTTAGTAAAGGACGTGTTGAAAACTGCAACTGGAGGTGGTAGGGCGGGACTTCAGCGGGTGGCTTGTTCCGCCCAATGAGAGGCTGATCTTTGCAGCGAACTTCCGCCCACTTAGACTACTTTTATTGTATCCTGCAATAACACCAAGCGCTTACCGTGCAGAAACGCCAGGTGCATTGCAACGCAACAAGCTTCATTATCATTAAAAACAATTACAAAAAGCGCCTCCAGCTGCTAAAACTCTTTCTGTGTGATCAGGGCCTACCTAGTGTCTTAAATCCGTCCTGTGGGTCTTCCATTTTCCTCTTTTCAGGGGTGAATACAGACTACCACCATTTGCTAGTATGGAGAGTTATTTCCTCTTACCCAGGCGCAGAGCTTCATGCTGGTTGGCTGTTGGCTGTCATCTGTGTGGTGTGTTCAGGTGTAACGTTCTGACAAAGACACAGTTGATGTGAGGCAAAGCAACAGTTGGCCTTTGTCACAGGTAGTTCTCTGATTTTGGTGTATCTGGACCTTCAGCTCGTCTCTCCATACTTTCTGACTTCCTGTCTGTGGCTCTCAGCTCCAGTCCCATTGGTTCCTAGTGAAAGTATTCAAAAACACAAATATAGTTTCAGGTTCAAAAAGTCTCAGCCATTTCCTTTATACAGAATGTAGTTTTTATCAAACAGGAGGAAAGAGTGCATTTGTCTAGGTCTATTTTCAGCAGCAGATTGATCCACATTTGGTGCTCTAGGGAGTATTTGTGGCAGCAGGATGGTGTTTGTAGGGTTGAGTCAAAATAAAGAATAATTTGGAAAATGTTACTGCCACAGAAAAATTCTACTCAGTGTAACTTACTGTCTTCTACATGTTTGATAATACACTACATTTTATAAAATGTTTAGTTTGAGAAAACATGCTTTGATTGGGTTGTACATTACTTTGAGTGTTATCGCCACCTACTTGCAATTGAAATCATGTGTTTCCCTCAGTGTCCAACAGGAGAGACCAGTGTCTCCAGTCAGCTGTGTGTCCATGAAGAGTGAGCGGTCCATGGGTGAACCTAAGAACTTCACAAATGGACACCACCCTGACAGTAACAGGTGGGGATAAAACAACGACAGTGAAAAGAAGTTTGGTTTGTAAAAAGACAGCACTGCTCATTTGTTCAAATATAATAATAATATGAATAAGGGAGAAGTGTGATTTCCCGTCATACACTTACTTGTAAAAGTTGAAAATCTGAGCTTCAGCGACCGATTTACACTGTGATAGCCAATCAGCACTGAGATCCTCCGGGGATGTATGACGCTGAGGAGGTAGCGGCAGAGATTCATTCTTTGATTCAGTGATTTAATGTGTGTACGACACGAGAATCAACGCAAAATATTCTAGCGTTCAAATTGGGCAAATAATGCACATTTATAATGTAATGCACGAATAAAACAATCTGCGCGATTGAATTACGTGTAAAGTCAATGTAAAGACGCCATAGGACGCAAATTCCCCTCGGGCCGGTGCGATTGATGCAAATTATGGGAATTAAGTAAGTAGTGCAATTTTTTCTGAGTTGAAAAATCTGAACTTCAGCAACCAGTTTGCACCGTGATAGCCAATCAGCACTGAGATCCACTGGGGACGTACGACGCAGAGGATGTACTGGCAGAAGTTCATGAATTCATCAGTGATTTCACGCTTGTACAACGTGAATTATTTATGCATGAAGCGAGTCGATGCAAAATATTCCAACATTCAAACAGCGTTTACATGTAAAGTCGAAGTAAAGACGCCATTAGATTTGACTTCCCGCTGGGCACTGTGATGGATGTGACATGAATGATGCGAATTAAGCGGCGTGAATGAACCAAGTAGCGCGATTTCACGACCAATTCACGTCGAGATAGCCAATCGGCAATGAGATCCTCCAGAGATGTATGATGCCGAGGACGTACCGGCTGAAGTTGATTTGTCGATTCAGCAATTTCACACGTGTTGTTCGTGCACATGAAGCAAGTCACCACAAAATATTCTAGTGTTCAAATTTGCATTGCATTTGTTGTGAACACATTAGGCAGCGTCTTCATGTAGGATCCTTGAGGCCTCGGTTAGAGTCGGGGTTCGCTCTCAGGAACAAAGGCAGAACTAACGTGACATTATCAGGATGAAATTCATTTCAACCTCAGAGATCGTCTGAAATAGACGGATCTGGAAGCTTGGTGAAATAGTGACTACTTGCAGAGGCCTGCCTGACCTGTTTGACTTACTAAAAAAAGATGTGGGCAGCAGTTCAGATGTCTGAAACAATAAAAACACCAAACTTATTGTCTACTACTACTACTTGCAGTTGAAATCATGTGTTTCCATCAGTGTCCAACAGGAGAGACCAGTGTCTCCAGTCAGCTGTGTGTCCATGAAGAGTGAGCGGTCCATGGGTGAACCTAAGAACTTCACAAATGGACACCACCCTGACAGTAACAGGTGGGGATAAAACAACGACAGTGAAAAGAAGTTTGGTTTGTAAAAAGACAGCGCTGCTCATTTGTTCAAATACTTCAATAATACAACCCATGTTTACATTTACCTCACCAGAGCGACCTCTGCTGGTTTCCTGAACAATGACTGCTCTGTTTCACAAACACAGGCAAAAGTAGCATGACGTTAGCCCTTCTTACACAGAGATGGCGCCATAGAATCGCTACAAAGTCCCGTCTTCATACTGTCTTTCCATTTTTACACAGAACCAAATGATGGTGGCATCATTCCGCTGCCAAAAGAGAGATGACAGATGTGACGTTTAACACAGCAGCATCGACCTCTGGTGTGACATATAACATACACGTCAGCAGTTAACGTATAATCATCATTTACCGTCTCTGTTATATGGCGGCTGATCTCATCCTCTGCTCAGAGGGTAAAGAGCTCCTGGACCTCATTGTTTTCACAAACTGTGGACATTTGGATCCCTGGAGAATCTCAATGCTGATTGGCTGTCGCTGCACAAATTGGACACTGAAGTTCAGATTTTTCAACTCTCGCAAATAAGCATATGATATGAAATTGCGCTACTAGGTTCATTTGCGCTGCTTATTTTGGCTCATTCACATCACATCCTTCTCGTCCATTGTGCCCGCCGTGCTGCCCCGCAGGAATTTGTGTCTCATCACATCTTTACATGGACTTTCCATTTAATTCACTTGAGCAAAATTGTTTTATTCGCGCCCTTTGTTGTGATGTGTTCACACCAAACTTGATGCGAATTTTCACATTGCGTTACACACTTGAGTTTGAACGCTAGTTTTTTTGGTTGCTGAGGTTCTGATTTTTCAACTCTGTTGTATGTAACACAAAATCATGCTACCCGCTTCATTCACGCCACTTAATTGGCATATTTTGTGTCATTTGCCTGACATCCATCGCGTCCATCACGCCACCCGGCAGGAATTTGCATCTAATCATGTCTTTACATTGACTTTAGGGACATTGTTCTTCTTCTTTGAGTTAGATGCTAACTGCTAATAGCAGCTTTTTACATCTTTCGAGTTGGGTCGCACACATAATATGTCATCAAAGCTTCACACCCATCTGCCCATGGTCCTGTCCTGTCGGCTGTCCTGTTATACAGACACTGTTTCAGCACTGTTACTACCTCCTGTAGCGGCCTAAAGGCGAGACAACTCTGTCCCCCCATATTGCAATTGTACGTTATATACAGAACAGCGAGGTGGCATAACGGTGTGAAATTCCTGCCTTGAACAGGCAGTGTAGAAGGGGCTACTGTTAGGATGAAATTAATTTGGTCATCCTCACAAATAGATGGTTCTGGAGGCTTTCTGGCGTTACGACTGTTTTTGAGGCTAACTGACCTTTAACGTGGCAGCCAGCCAGGAACACCTGCCAGCCACAGATAACTGGCTTGGTAACTTAGAGATATACCTAAAATGTAATCACAATTTTTAGTTTCATTTGATGAGATCAAATCATGTGTTTCCATCAGTGTCCAACAGGAGAGACCAGTGTCTCCAGTCAGCTGTGTGTCCATGAAGAGTGAGCGGTCCATGGGTGAACCTAAGAACTTCACAAATGGACACCACCCTGACAGTAACAGGTGGGGATAAAACAACGACAGTGAAAAGAAGTTTGGTTTGTAAAAAGACAGCACTGCTCATTTGTTCAAATACTTCCCATGTTTACATTTATCTCACCAGAGCAACCTCTGCTGGTTTGTTGTTAGAATTACAATTGTTGTGAACCATGTCAATATTGAAGAACGAGCATATCAAGTTACTCACACAGACATATTACAACCGACAAACTACAAGAAAAGAAAATCTCCCTCCACCCCCACAAATAAGGGGGATGTAATGACAGCTGTTTCCCCTCATGTTTTCCTCAGATTCACTGAGGAGAGGTCAGAGGTTCCCAGGTGTGACGGTGCAAAGCATTCTCAAACAAACCAGGACTCAATATTTATGGTTTGTATATACACAACTTTTTTACTTCAACAGCTTTAGAGTGGCAGGTTTTAAGACATGGAGATGGATTTGAGGCTGCGTAATATAAGTAATAGTGCTTTGATATTTTTCACAGCTTCCTCAGGAGAACATTGTCACCTTTGTGAGGGAGGGGCTGAAGATGTTTCAGAGGATTTTGAGTCCCGATTACCAGGAATGCTCAGAGAGACAGGGTGAGGAGGAGTATGAGGCACTTCTGAAGTTCACACTGGACTTCCTGAGGAGAAAGAAGCAGGAGGAGCTGGCTGACTGTCTGCAGAGCAGTAAGAGGATTTTAATAGATTATGGCTATACCTAAAACCCCCAGTTCATCAAATAAACCACTAACAAAGACTTTTTGCTTTTATTGATACACAGAATACGTCAAGAAATGGACTAGAATGCATTTGAATGTCTTAACTTGGGAATATTAGTTCAGTACATTTATTGGAAATGGCCTCTTTTCAGTCCTAATTGGGGTCCAATCACAGACTGCAGGTGGTTGCAAAGGCCCTTTTGAAACTGAAGGAATTCTCATTACTTTTCTCCAAATAGAATCACATTTTTGAAGGGCTTAAGGTGCTCAAGAACTCGAAAAATTACATGTGATATAGGTCTGGCTCACAGGTGTCACAAAATGGCTCAGTAGTGCCCCCTATTGAATTTATACAAAGCAGCCACCAAAGCTGGTTTGACCTGTATGTAGGCAACTTGGTAGGCACATGTAACGTCCCAAGACATACAAGTAGTTATTTGGAGACATGCCCTAATCTCAACATGAAGTCAGCCATTTTCAATTTATTCTGCCATTTCTGTGCATTTTTTGGACATTTCCAACCACCAAATTCTACTTAAGTTATTCTTCAGCCCAAGTGGACGTTTGTAGCAAATTTGAAGAAATTCTCTCAGGCATTCGTTAGATATCGCGCTCGCAAGAGTGACAAGGATGCAAGGTCAAAGTGACCTTGAACTGAGACCACCAAAATCTCATCAGTCAATTGCAGAGTCCAAGTGGTCAGTAGCTGTTTCTAGCTCTGGTAATCTCACTGTACACTTGGTATCCCTCAACATCAGAATGACAAATTTAGCAACTAGCCTAACAGTCCCAGTGTCCTCAAACAAGATGACAATAATGTCCCAGTGTCCTCAAACAAGATGACAATAATGTCCCAGTGTCCTCAAACAAGATG